CCATCGCTGTGACAACGGTCTCCTCCCTGGATTCCTTACTTCGTACAGGCTTCAGCCAACAAAGCTGTTGGTTCAAAGCCCTCCAGGCCATCCTCCCGGCCACAGCCGCTCTGGGAGGGACCCTCGGCTCCCTCCCTTCCCCTCCTTCTCTTTCCTTCCTTTCCTGTCTTCTTCCTCTTTTACTTTTCCTCACCCTCATTTTCCGTCAAAGAATAATTTACTGAGGTGAAATTTACATAACACAGAGTTAACCATTTCAAAGTGGACAATTCAGTTGCATTTATTACATTCACAATATTGTACGCCGCCATCTCTACCTTGTTCCAAAATACTTTCCTCTTTTTAAAAAGGCTTTATGTATTTATTTGACACAGAGAGAGCGCATGAGAGCACAAACAGACGGAGCAGTGGGCAGAGGAAGAGGGAGAAGCAGACTCCTGGCTGAGCAGGGAGCCTGACTCAGGACTTGATCTCAGAACCCTGGGATCATGACCAGAGCCTAACGACTGAGGCACCCAGGCGCCCCATTCCAAAAATACTTTCATCTCCTTGACCGATGTCTCGCCAGTCTCCCCTCCCCCTAGACCCATCAATCGGCTTTCTGTTTCCACGGATTTATCTATTCTAGATATTTCATATAAAAGGAATCATATAATATGTAACTTTTTGTGTCTATACTTATTTTGAAGAGCAGGTACATTCACAAGGTTCATAACTGAGAATTCGGTAGATAATAGTGAAAAGTTCTCTGCTCCACGGACACCTAGTTTCCCTCCCTGGAGGTAAACAGCAACTTCAGTAGTTTTGTTTGTTTATTCTTTTTTTTGTCTTTCTATCCTCCCAGATTTATTTTATGCATATATAAGTAAATATAGGTATGTCTACACACATGTTCTATCTCTCATATATCTGTCGTCTGCCTATCTGTTTGGATCTGATTTTCTTTTCTCTCCTAGCAGTGTGTCTTGGAGATAGCTTCATATCAATATATAAAGAGCTTCCTCCTTCTTCTCTAATGATTGCTTTGTATTCTCGTGAATGGATGTATCATAATTTGTGTAACCATTCCTCCCAGCCAGTGGACTTTTGGGTTGTTTCCAATCTTTTGGTTTTATAAACAATGTCATAGTGGGTCACCTTGTCCATTGGCCAATGTATCTGTAGATAAATTAGGAGTCTGATATTCTGGGTTCAAAATTAGACACACTTAGGCAAGATCAGAGTGGATTCCTGTCACATTATATAATAAATAACACTCATGGGTTGGGAAATATGCATTAGACATTGTGCTAAGCGTTTTTAAAGCAGCTTTTGCAATATGATTTATATACCATAAAATTCACTCATTTAAAGCATACAATTCAATGTTTTTTAGTATTTTGACAGTAGTGCAATCATCACCACAATTGATTTTAGAACATTTCATCACCCCAAAAGAAACCCTCTACCCATTAGCCATCACTTCCATGCTTCTCTGCCCCCAACCTGTGGAAACCACTCATCTACTTTTTGTCTCTGGATTTGCCCCTTGTGGACATCTCATACAGATAAAATCATATGATACGCGGTCTTTTATGTGTGGCTGCCTACACTTAACATAGAGTTTTCAAGGCTCATTCATATTGTAGCATGTGTTATTACTCCATTCCTTTTTATTGCAGAAAATCCCTGTATTTTTGTTTAAAGATTTTATTTATTTATTTGACAGAGAGAGATCACAAGTAGGCAGAGAGGCAGGCAGAGAGAGGGGGAAGCAGGCTCCCCGCTGAGTAGAGAGCCTGATGTGGGGCTTGATCCCAGGACCCTGAGATCATGATCTGTGCCGAAGGCAGTGGTTTAACCCACTGAGCCACCCAAGCGCCGCTTGAAAATCCCTGTATTTTTATATGTTGAATTAAAAGCTGTAAATCAAGCCAAACATTTGTTAAATAAATTATATTTGATCTTCCCACTTTGACAAATAGGTGTAAAGTTATGGCTTTTATATGACTAAACATTGGCAAAATATCAAAGTTGATTAAATCTGGGTCTCCTTGGTGGCTCAGTTGGTTAAGCGTCTGCTTTCGGCTCGGGTCATTCCGGGGGTTGAGTCCCTCATCAGGCTCCTTGCTCAGTGAGGAAGCTGCTTCTCCCTCTGGCTGCCAGTCCCCCTGCTTTCTCAGTCTCTCTCTCTCTGACAAATAAATAAAATAAATATTTGAAAAAAAATAAAAAGGCTACATTTCTTAAAATAATAACTAAATTCAATTATTATTACAAAATTAGAATATATTATAGTAATATAAATTCAATTCCAAAGTAAAAGTTACTTTTTATGTTTTCAAGAGCTATTTTTCTTTTTTAAAAGATTTTATTTATTTGCGAGAGAGTGAGAGAATGAGTAGCAGGGGAGTGAGGGGGAGGAGTAGCAGAGGGAGTAGCAGTTTAACAGGGAGCCCGATGTGGGGCTCCATCCCAGGACCCTGGGATCATGACCTGAGCCCCCCAGGTGCCCCTCAAGAGCTATTTTTGTAAAATATTCAAAATCATCTACAAAAGTTAAAGGGAAGAAATATAATCTATAAGGAACAAGTGAATGTTAAATTTCAAGTATTTGAAGTTAAAGTTTTTACTTGACTTTTTGAAAATGTAATAAAATTTTGTTAAATATGATCATGAAAAGCTATTTGCAAGTCGTGTTCCGTGTCTGACTTAGTATCATGTTTCGTGTTTTCATGCCTAGACTTACACCTGGACACAAGAGAGAGCGATCCGAATGGTTTATTGACGAGAAATAACCCTTCGCCTCCATGAGAACTGCCGCATTTACCGCACTAATTTTGGGGGAGTCACTCTGGACTTTTATGTTAGAGAAGCAGGAAAATGGAGACTTGGTGCCGCGGGAAATGGCATGTTGTTACCCAAGGGTCTACGGCAGTCGAGGTGTCCCAGTGGAGGAATGTGACAGGTGGGTTTGTCTTCTACCGCAGCACCTGCCCGGTTCCCATCCCACGACCCTCTGAAGCAGCGTGGTGGTGGCGGCACAAACCACAACCCCCACACGTTCCCATGCCTTTTGTTTCAAGGACAGGGGCCAGGGGACATGGAGAAGCAGAGCCTGAGGTCTAAACGGTGCTCCTTGGGAGAGGGGGTATTCTCGTGCTGGTGCCAGATCTCAAGTAACAGAACAGCCCCATGTTCTTTCACACATTCGTGTGTCTGTGTCCTGTGCAGGCCAAGAGGAGGGGCCCGCCCCGCCGGCTCTGACATCCTGCTCTCACAGGGGCGCGGAGAGGCCGGGAAGGTCGTTCTGGTCCAAAGCTCTTCCGCAGTGATGAGGGCCGGCGCCTGACTGGCCCAGTCCGGGGAGTGTGAGACTCGATCTTTGGGCTGCGAGTTCGAGTCCCATGCGGGGTGGAGAGATTACTTAAAAATAAGATGTTAGAACAAACGAACAACCTCTTTTACTGTGATGAAGTCAGGGAGTGGCCGTGGACGGGGAGAGCAGGCCAAGTGTCGCGCTCTGCGGACAGAGGCCTCTCTCTCTGACGTGGGCCGCGGGGCCGTTTTCAGGGTCGCCCTCGGGGCCCCTCGGTCTGTTCGAATGCGCACAACAGCAGAAGCAGACCCTCCTTCACTCGTTCACTCCCTCACTGAACGGTACTTCCTGGGCGCTGTTTTCCAGGTGCCCTTCTGGGCTGGCGGAGCAAGAGGGCGACCGGACTGGGAGGGCTCGGGAGCTGCGGGGACGGGCGTGAGCGTGGATCACGGTGACGCGTTGGTTTTAAAACGCTGCGGGAGCAGAGGGAGGCGCGAGCGCCACGTCGTCGGGGTGGACTGTGCGGAGGGGCCTGCGCGGAGGGGCCGAGCCCCAGCAGCTCCGCAGACGCCGCAGACCCGGCGGGCCCCGCGCGCAGACGGCCACCCGCACGTCGCACGGGAGCTTTCCGGGGTCCTCGCGCGGGTCCATCCTACAGATGCGAAGACCGAGGACCAGCAGGTCAGGGGCTTGTTCGGTGCCACAGAGCTGGTGAGGGACGGTTCCACGGGCCCCGCCCCAGGTCTTCCCGACCGCGCAGTGGACGAGCTTTCCTCCCCGTCTCGGCGCTCGAGGCGTCCCGAAGGACGCGGGCGCGACACGGGGGTCATCATCGGGGGAAGGAACAGCGTTTGTTCCGGAGACCCGAGCAGGACGGGGTCGCGGCCGAGCGGGTCCGCGCGTCCACCAGGACCGGGTCGCGGCCGCGGCGGACTCCCGAGGGCCCCGCGCAAACCCCTTCGGCTCGTGGACTGGCGGCTCCGCAGGGGCCCGAGTTCCCGGAACGCCCGACTCTGTCCACCGGACCACGTTCCTACTCCTTCCTCCATCCCAAGTGCTCGTGCAGGGGGGCGGCGGGGAGGGCGGCGGGGGGTCTCCGGTGGGAACTCGCCGCGGCCCCCGGGGCATCTGCCGGTCCGAGCCGAGCCGGTCCGGACGTTCGCGGCGGACGCTGGGGGCCGCGGTCCGAGAGGCCGGCCCTGCCCTGGGGGTCGCGGGGGTCCCGGGTCTCCAGCGGGGCCCGGCGCCGCCGTCCGGTCCAGGCGGCCCGCACGGTCCTGCTCTCCTCGCCGCAGCCCTGCCGGTCCGCGGGTGTCCGCCGGGTCGCAGCTCCGGAAGCTGCACTTGGGGTCACAGGAGCCTGGTCGAGGCCGAACTTCACGTGACTTTCCCTGCGGCCACCGGGGGGACCCGCGGAGAAGCCGCGCCGGCGCGACGCGGAGACTCCCGCGCCCGGAGGTGGTAGCCCGGGCGGGGCGGGGCGGACGCACTGAGCCCCGGGGGACCGGGGGCGGGGCCGGGGCCGAGGCGGGGCCGGGGGCGGGGCGGGGCGGGCGGACCTGAGCCCCCGCGCCCCGGCGGTCCCGCCTCCCACCCCCACAGCGGGCGGGCGGGAGCGGCGGGGCGCGTGCGCGGGCGGCCTCGGGGGCGGGTCCGGGCGGGGCGCGCTGGACGGCGGCGGCGCACCCGGAAGAGCCGCGCCGCGGGCGCAACAGGCGGCGGGGGCGGCGCGCGTCCACCGGGCGCGATGGACAAGCTGAAGAAGGTGCTGAGCGGCCAGGACTGCGAGGACCGGGGCGGCCTGGCCGAGGTGAGCGCGCCCGCGGCGGGAGGCGGGGGCGGGAGGCGGGGGCGGGCGGGACCCCCGGGCTGTGCGGACCTCCGGGCTGGCCCGTGCGTCCCAGCGCCGCCCCCGGGCCCCCTCGACGGGCGGCGCCGGGGCAGGACCGCTGGAGCGTCCGCGCGGACGGGCCGAGCCCCCAGACCTGCGGACGCAGCCGGTCCCTGGCGACCGGCCCGCAGCCGCCCCCGCTCGGGGCTCGGTGTCGGGGTCCCTCTCCCGCCCGCGGGCGCCTGTCGGCGTCGAGGCGCGTGTCCCCGGCGCTCCGCGGGGCGCTCCGGTTCCCCGAGCCTGTCCGTCCGCGCGGCAGACCCCGGACCCCGGGACCCCCGGACGCCGCGCGTGCGGGCGGGTCAGGGTCAGGGTCAGGGTCAGGGTCAGGGTCTCTCTCTGGCCCGGGCTGCGGAGCCACAGCGCGCGTCTCCGGGTTCCTGCGCTTCCATCGCGTTTGCGCCTGTTTTCCCCCTGGGCGACCCAGGACACTTCACCTTCCGGTGTGTGCCTCAGTTTCCCCGGCTGCGGGGCGAGGCTGCGGCCCGCTTCGCTCTCCGGTTTGCTGCGGCTGCTGCTTTCCCGCGCTTCGGCGGGTGCCGGGTTTTGTCTGCGTTTCCCTCCGGAGCCCCCGCAGCCCCAGAGCGCGGTCCCCGGAGCTTCACCCTGAAGACCCGCACTCGACACTGACGCGGGACTTTAGGAATCGGGGTTCGTTCGTTCGTTCTTTCTATTTCAAAACAGCTCTGTGGGTTCTTTTTTTTTTTTTTTTTCCTTATTTTCTTGATTTCTAGGACAGACAGAGATCACATGCAGGCAGAGAGAGAGGAGGAAGCAGGCTCCCCGCTGAGCAGAGAGCCTGATGCTGGGCTTGATCCCAGGACCCTGAGATCATGACCCGAGCGAAGGCAGAGGCCCAACCCACTGAGCCCCTCTGTGGGTTCTTTTTACTTGGGTTAGGGTTGGGGTTAGGCCTTTATTAGTGGGTCGGGGCTCAGGAGTAATTTCATGCATTTTTTGTTTCTGATTTCCGCCTTCTGTTAGGAACTGTCAAGTCAACTCCCACACGGCCTAGTAAATCCTGGGCAGTGGACAGTCGCTGGTTCTCTGAAAGCATTATGCCCTGTGGACGGTCATCCTGCTGTGACGAGCACCTCGGGCTCCAGAGCTAGACACTTGGTCATCCTGGAGACTCCTGGGCTAGAGTGTTGACAGCAAGAGGAGGCAGATACTTTGTATTTAGAAAACAATCACCAAACAGACCCTTAAGAGTGAGTGATTAGTGCAGATTGAAGATGCGAGGGCTGAGTTGGCTTTTACCCAAGGTGGTGCATGTCCTCGTTGGACACAGGGAAGGGCTTGAAAGGGCTGTAAGCTCAGCCCCGTCTTAAATCTGTTTAAGAAAGACAAGGTGCCGCTCTCGTTGTGAAGTCCCTGTCCGTCTCCTCTCCTGAGTGTGAGATTCCTGTTTTCATACCTCATTGTATGTCGTTTCCTGAGTCCCAGACTCCTGGGAAACATCTTGTAGCTGGCTGAATTCATTTTCAGGATTGTTCTTGGCTTAATTTTTAATTTTTACTAATTCGAGCCTCCTTTAAAGTATGGGTATTGATTTGATCGTCTCACATCTGCCCTGGCTTCGAAGCTGGCAGAGCTGGAGATTCTGTGCTGAAATTTCTGTTTTCTGTAGTGAGTTGGACTTCATGGCCTTATGAGTTCTTCAAATTAAATTATGGAAGTTGTCAGAGATCACCATAAGTGAGTGCTTTTCAAATTTTTATTCTTTTAACGTAAACAATAAAAGCATGACTAGGTCTGTTTCTCTTACATATGAAACTATGCATAAAAACCACTTGGCCGTCCCTAATCACCAACAATAGCCTCATGATGAGGTTTTTAATTGATACCTCCCCTTCATAAATACACCTTCAACCTTTGGTTTTAGTGGGCTTCTGTCCTAAAGTATAGGTTTCATTTTTCCATAGAGGATTCCAGGGATGAGGAAGGAATGAGTGGTAGGAAGCAGTATTCGTTTCTCACCTTCTTCTGGTTACCAGCCCTGTTTCCTCAAACAGTTCTTAGCTTTACCTCGTTTTGGCAAGAACCTTTCGTCTCTCCATGTCCCAGAGTCAAAGGGACCTTTGTTCCTAACTGCCAGTCAGGCGGCATGTGTGCAGGACACGGACAGTTCTATCCAGGTTCTATGTAAGCTACTCTAATTTCCAGAAGGTGCTCCAGCACAGCTTCCAGCAGCCATGAATTGAGAAGTTTGTTTTTTTTTTTTTTAATAGATTTTATTTATTTATTTGACAGAGATCACAAGTAGGCCGAGAAGCCGGTGGGGGCGGGTGGGGGGGAGGCAGGCTCCCTGCTGAGCAGAGAGCCAGTTGCAGGGCTTGATCCCAGGACCCTGAGACCATGACCTGAGCCGAAGGCAGAGGCTTAATCCACTGAGCCACCCAGGCGCCCCTAGAGAGGTGTTTTGTATCGACTGAGTCTGTTTTTATAAATTGGCAAAAGGAAGGGCTTTTGCTGAGCCCAGTTAGAAGGGGAATAGCAGTTTCCTCTTGCTGGGACCATGCAGGTCAACCAAGTGCAGTTACATGCAGTGGGGAGACACGAGTGACGAAAAATTGTCTGTACCCCCCCCATTTGCCCCCTGGGGTGACATTTGGGTGGAAATTTCAGCTTGAGGGACTTGTAGAACCGACGTGTCACTTTTGCTTCGAAGGAAGATAGCAGAGCTGCTTTCTCTAGCGCGTGAGTTCATTTGTAAGGGGACTGGGACCTCACCGTCCTGTGCAGACTGTATTCAGGTCTCTGAATGCCAAGGCCAGCTCACGCTTGACATGTGACCTTACGGTTTATCCTCTTAAAAAAAAAAAGGTTGAACGTCTGATGACGTTCCTGTGGATGCCAAGTAGTGCTCCAGCTGCGAATCCTGTCCCCTTGTGCTGTGGCGCCCTTCTCCCCGCGTGCAGCTCACCTCTTTTTTTCTGCCTGGCAGAGCAGGTTCTCTGTTTCCTGCGTGAGTAGGAGGAGTGGCGTCTTCTGGTCTTATTTTCTTCCTGATGGGAGGTTGCCCGTGTGAGTCAGAAGGCTGAGCTGGTTGTGGGGCCGCCATCGCGGTCGGCCTGCTGAGTGTCATGTGACTCAGTTGGGTGCGGGTTTTCCTCAGCAAGGAAGCCGGGGGCCCATCTCTCTGGCCCTGACAGACACCCTGTTCCCGCTGGGTGTCACCGTCCCCGATGGCACCTTTCTGCACGGTGTCATGTGGTGTCCCATGTTTCCGCAGGTGCTGTGTCTGCTGGGGGATGGCAGTGTCAGGAGCCCCCCTTAAATATGGGGGAGCAGGGGCGCCTGGGGGGCTCAGTCATTCGTGTCCACCTCTTGATTTCAGCTCAGCTCATGATCTCAGGGTCCTGAGATCGAGCCCTACATCAGGCCCCCTGTGCCTGGAGCCTGCTTAAGAGTCCCTCTCCCTCCATCTCTCAATTTGTGTGCGTCTATGCGGTAGGAAGAAAACCAGTTTGACAACAGCCCTTCGTCCTGGGTCTCTCGTGGATGGAAGTCAGGCTGTTCTGTGGCAGGGGCTGGCCACCGCTGGGAGAGCCGCTGGTTCTTGTCTCCCAGCCTCTGGTTTGGCAGGAAGCTTGGGGACGGGGCCGAGAGCCCGCCCTGAGCTGGGGGCGTCGAGGCTGAAGGACTTGCCCATCCAGTGGCCCTTGCAGCTTCTGGCAACGTCCTTCTTCATCAGGGGGTAGAAATGTTACCGGCAGCTTCCCCCGCTGCCGATGGTGGCCGTGGTGGCCACGCGGTGAGCCTCCTGCAGGCGCACTGGGCAGGAGGCCGGAGGCGGGTCTCTGGCAGCAGCCCGTCCCCGGCATGGCGTGGCCAGGAAGGTCTCTGGCGTAAGCTCTGGGCTGGCCTCTTTGACATGGAGGAACAGCCGTGGGAGCTGCGTGCAGGCTCGCCTGTTAGCAGAGCTGTTGTTGGCAATCGCGCACTCCCGGGAGGGATGAATTACGGTAGCGGGGCCGGGCGGTCATGAATTACCTGGGATCCGTCTCACGCGTGGGTGACTTGGCTGATGCCGGCACGAAGCACCTCAGATCCAGCTGAGGGCCCTGACGCGATGACAGCCTCGTCCCCTGGGGTCTCAGAGATGCCGGGAGGAGTAGCTCCTGCTGAACTTCGGCTCATCGATGTGGGAGGCCATGCCCGGTGGCCTGAGCGCCAGCCGCCTCCCTGTTCCCTGGGCCCCTGCCTGGGGCCGCTCACGCCTTTGCAGTTGTCGGTGTCCGGCCCGGGCTGTGGTCAGGGCTTGGGCTACTCTGGGGCCTGCTGCCTTGCTGTGCTGTGTGTGAAATGGTGGAGACTTGCCACCTCGGGGGTGTTCCCCTAGAGGCTGGGTAACCTCGTATCTGCTGCTGGAGAGGAGATTCGTGGGTGGGGAAGGAGCTGGGCGCCACGACTCGGGAGGGCTCTCGTAGCAGCGAGGGAGTCGGAGTCTCTGTTTCTGCCTTCCGCGGGACAAACTCACACAATCTCATTACGTGCTTCCCTCGTTCTTGCTGCTTAAACGTGTATATCCATGTGTGTGATCTGTCGTTTGAAAATTCTAGGTCGTTGAGGCGTCTTCACTGAGCTGGGGCACCAGAATAAAGGGCTTCATTGCGTGTTTTGCTGCAGGAATTGTCTGCTCACTGTTGGTAAGATGTCCCTCCCCTCCCCTGTCTTTTCCCCACCCTGTCCTTCCTTCCCTCTGCCTTTCCCCTTTTGTCCACCTCCTCCCTTCTGCCCCTCATGAGATGCACAGATGAGAGCGAGAGGAGAGGGGGTGCTTACGAGGGAGGGGAGGGGTCTGGGGGTCTCTGTGCACTCTTGGCTGTGGGCTGGCAGGGGGGTCCTCCCCGTGCAAATGCCCTGTGCTTTATCTTCCAGGGGACTCTCCTGCTCTGGGTGCCCAGGAAGGGCCTGTACCTCTTCGCAGTGTTTTATACCTTTGGTAACATCGCATCGATTGGGAGGTAACAGTTTTTTGCTTTTTGTTTTTGTTTTTTAGTTTAACCTTAGCCAGTCACTAGATGGGAAAATAGGTGTGGGCTATACTTGAGCGACATGAAGGAGGATGCTTTATTAGTTTTAAGGATTTGGTTTCACACCAGAGGTTGTTAAAATACATCGTATCCAAAAAAATCCACAAAATATACATCACATTTATATTCTGTCACTTTAAAATATTTTAGTATCTTTTTTTTTCTTAAAGATTTTATTTATTGGGGCTCCTGGGTGACTCGTCAGTTAAGCATCTGACTTTGGCGCAGGTTGTGATCTTGATGTCTTGGGATCAAGCCCCATGTCAGGCCCCCCACTCGGCAGGGAGTCTGCTTCTCTCTCTCCCTCTGCCCTTTCCCCTGCTTGTGCTCTCTGTCAAATAAGTAATGAAAACGTAAACTTAGGTATTTGAGAGAGAGAGAGAGGGTGAGTGAGAGGTGTGGGGGAGGAGCAGAAGAAGAGGGACAAGCAGACTCCACGGTGAGTGCAGAGCCCAACACAGGGCTTGATCCCACAACCCTGAGATCATGACCAAAATCAGGAGTTGGACGTTAAACTGACCGAGCCACCCAGGCACCCCAGTATTTTTGTATCTTAGTGTATTTTTTTTAAATTTTTGTTTTTTAAAAGTTTTTATTTATTTATTTATTTGACAGACAGAGATCCCAAGTAGGCAGAGAGGCAGGCAGAGAGAGAGGGGGAAACAGGCTCCCCGCTGAGCAGAGAGCCTGACGCGGGGCTCAATCCCAGGACCCTGAGATCATGACCTGAGCCGAAGGCAGAGGCTTAACCCACTGAGCCACCCAGGTGCCTGTATTCATTTTTTTGAAAGAGCGAAAGAGAGGGAGAGATAGAGCATGGCGGGAGAGGGGCAGAGGGAGAGGCAGAAGCAGTCTTCTCACTGAGCAGGGAGCCTGGCGCAGAGGGGCTCGATGCTAGGACCCCGAGATCATGACCTGAGCTGAAGGCAGGTGCTTAACTGACTGAGCCACCCAGGCACCCTGTCTTAGTTTATTTGTGAAATCTCCTGGGATGAAGTTACTGTTGTGGTTTTACACATGAGGGAACCGTGGTTGAATGGGACAACACAGTCCTGTCTGCGTTCCGGCCTGCTGCTGCCAGAGGCTGAGTGGGGATTTTAGAAGGGCTCACGGGGCCAGAGGCTCCTGGGGAGGGTGTTCTTGCTCGGCCAGTGGAGGACCATCTCAGACCTGACCCTAGGCTCAGGAGCACGGGGGTGGGGCTCGCAGCGTGCCTGCCAGCGGTGAGCAGCCCGTTGTGCATGCCGCAGGTGCGCACACGGCCCAGGTCCAGTCCAGCTCGTGCTTCAACCACGCTGTGTGCGGGCAGCAACGGTCCTGCGGCCTGACTTCTGCCTCAGGACCCCGGAACCTGAGCTCTGTGATTCCCTTTCCCTCCCCCTTCCCTTGTATCTCAGTCAATGGCCTCAGAGTCCTGGGTGTCCAAGCCCCGGCGCCTGTGATTGGTCACCATGACTTGGTGCTGACCCCTTCCTTTTTGTCTCCATGGTTATCGTCCCTGGGACGGACTCACGTGCTTAATGACTGAGCCTTGACCACACCTGGGCGGGGCTCTGAGCCCTCACAGACTGTGTGGTTTGGTTCCTGCCCCTGGAGCTCACGGTGGGCCGGGCAGATGCAAACGGGTGACAGAGTCGGGCAGGGAGGAAGAGGGGCCTGGGAGGGGCAGCTGCTGCCATCTGAACCCGGAGCGGGGGAGGGCCCGTAGACATGGAGCCACCTGCACCGCCCTTGGGTCTGGCGCGTATCACTTCCCGTCTGAACTACTGCAGGAATCCGGGCGGCTTCCCTGTCTCCCTTCGTGTCCCTCCGGCCCACTTTCTGTGACGCCCCAGCACAATCTGTTTGGCCCTACCTCATGCGAGCCTACGGGAGAGGCGCTTAGAGAGCTGGCTTGACCCAGGTCCACTCCACAGCCTCTTGTATTTCCCCAAACATCCTTGTGGTGGTTCTGGGGCTAACGTCTTTGTCTAGAATGCTGCCCCGTCTGTATCTTCCTCTTTGTGCCCTGCCCCCCGCCCCCATTTTAGGGGAATTCTTGCTCATTTGTCAGGACTTGGCTCAAAAGTCACCACTCCTGTGAGACTTCTTGTCATCTCTCCCCACCCAGAATCAGTGACCTCTTCTTTCCTAGGGGACTCTGTGTGTCCCAAATATGTTTATGGGACAGCACAGGTAGCATTTTATTACACTGACTTGCTAGAAGTGTCTAAGCCACTTGACGGGCTGTACCTCTGCCCTGCCTGTCCCTGTTGTCCCCAAGCCCAGCTCTGTTTTTGGCTGGAAACGTTAACCAAATGATTGAGTGCAGGACTCTGGGTGCCTCCTAAGAACTTGGTTTATGGATGCTTCTGATAGCGAAGTCTCCTCTCACCTCCACGGCCTCTTCAATACTGACTTTTGGAGGGTTTTCTTTGGGCAGACGATGCGGGTTTTGTGTCGAGCTGCAAACAGCATAAACACAGGAGCGGGCTGTCAGCCCAGAAGAGCAATTTAGCAGACCCTGCTAGGACCGGGTCTTCAGAGCCCTGCCTGTGGGAGTAACATGGGGAGCAAAGGATTATTTCCAGGGTGTGTCTAGGAGTTTATGGCTTTACCTATAATGGGTTATTATTATTTATTTATTTATTTGACAGGGAGACAGAAGGAGAGGGAGAGAGCACAAGCAGGGGGAGCAGCTGAGGGAGAGGGGGAAGCAGGCTCCCTGATGAGCCGGCAGCCTGACGTGGGGCTCGATCGCAGGACCCGGAGATCAGGACCTGAGCCGAAGGCAGATGCTTAACGGCTGAGCCACCCAGCGTCCTCTAATGTGTTACAGTTTCGTGTTTATGCTGTATTTAATTTTTTTTTTTTAATGCTGTATTTAATTTTTAAAGCCAGCCATGGCTGTTGCTTCTTGTTCAGTGTTGGCTGGGAGTGCAGCTGTGAATTCAGGTTGAAACTTAACAGTACTTTAAAGAGAAGTAGGCTTATTTTTAAAATTTCTGTTTTTATCAAACACCCAGTAGCTAATGTTTAAACACTTGCTGTTATAGGCTCCTGCCCATGTGATGCCACATGGGGCCTTTCTGTAGGAATCTAGAGACATGACAGACCTCGCCCCGGGGTTTGGGGTTAGTGGGTTAGTGTCGTGCGCAGCCCCCTCTCCAGTTCCAGTCACACTGAAAGTGCACGACGGATGTCTTTCGGGGCTTTGGATCCTGTAGCTGTGGGTTCGAGTGCGGGCTGTTTTAGCTGTGCGGCTGTGGATAAGGACACCTTCCTGAGCTTCCTTTTCCCATCTCTGAAATAAATAAGCGTAACGACACCTGCTCCACCGACTTGCGGAGGGATGGAATGAGGTCAGGGATGTCCTGTCTGTCACGTAGCAAACACTGACCAACTCACAGAGGATATGACCAGTGGAATTATTCTCAGGAGAAAGAAAGAACAGGAAGTGCCCTAGTTTTTAATACCAGCAACCTAAACCTGTCAGGTGTGGTTTCTCTTTAAAATGATCCAAGTCTCTGGTTGGCCGGTTGGTTTCCATGGGTGGGTGTTGAGGAGACAGGGGTGCACCTCTCAGAGGCCTGGGGGCTCTTGGTGTGGTTCTGGAGCCAAGCCCCGTGCACTCACACCCGAGGAGCGGGCAGCCCCGGCTCCGGCTAGCAGACCCTTCGGGCTTCCATTTCTTCGCCTGCACAGGAAGTAGGACGATTCCTGTCATCCGCCCCGCAGACCATCGAAGGGTTAGGTTGGGATAGTACGCAAAAGGCCAGAAAGGCTGGCAGTTGGCGGGTGGCAGGAGCTTCCCAGCTGTCCCCGGCCATTACCGCTGTGATCCCCGTGGCTGCTCCCGCCGGGCAGAGGGGAGGCGGCGGGCTGGGCCTGGGCCGGGCCGGGCCGGGCCAGGCCCGGGCTGTTCTGAACGGCCTCTGTGTGTTTGCCTCTCAGCACTGTCTTCCTCATGGGCCCGATGAAGCAGCTGAAGAGGATGTTTGAGCCGACGCGCTTGATCGCGACGATCATGGTGCTGGTAAGGCCTGCCTGGGAGCCGTGCTTGTGACATGGGACTTCTTAGCTTTTCGTCTTCCTCCTCCTTTCTTTCCCCTTTTGTCTTGACTCACTGCCTGACGCCTGTGAGCTCCGAGTTGGAGGCAGAATTCTGCGTCCGATCGTGACGCCCGCCGTGTGCCGCACCCGCAGCGGGCCGCTGGGAGCAGTTGCACTGTTGGGGACACGGTCATCCTGGTGACGGGGGAGCTGCGCCCAGCAGAGTCCGGGCGAGGGACCCCAAACACAGGCTTCACTCGCCGGAGCGGGGGTCGGGGCTCCTGGAGCGGGCGCGCTCTTTCCTCGGCACCCAACTGCCGCCACTTGCCTCTGGGGCTGCTGCCCTCGGGGCCCCTCCGCTCTGCTCCCTGCTCCGATGGCACTGCCTGCAGCCCGTCCCGTCCCCCTGGCCTGTTGCTCCTGTCCCACGCTCCTGCCCCTTCCTCCTCTGGGCTGCCACCTTCTGTGTGACCCTTAGCATCGTTCCAGACCACATTCGCTGGCCTTCTGTCAGCATCGCCTTTCCTGCAACATTGGGCCTCGATCAGTGCACTTTTGAGTTTCATCTCCGTCCACGTCGCTCGTCGGGACGGGTGCGCTCCGTGAGGCCGCGTCCACGTTAGCTGTTGCTCGCGTGTCCTTGCAGAGCATCGGCCCAGTGCTGGCCGCGGAGAGAGTACTTGGGGCGTGATTACTGAGCAGTGAAGCCGTAGAGGGACAGAGAGGATGGGCATGACCGGCCGCCCGAGGCCATTGTTCTTGGCCAGCCTGGATGTAGATGGTCTGGGCGTGTCTTACAGAAAGAACTTTGTAAAGGTGGAGTCAGAGTGTGAGGTGACATGTAAACCAGTAACCGGCCGCCCGGAATCTCGTGTTACTTTGTCCTGCTTGCCTTTCCCGTTCCAGGCGCAGGGGTTTTCGGAGGGGCTCAGATACAGGGCTGAGAGTTCGGCTGTGCTAGTGAGTTTGAATGAAAATGGGGAGGGGTGAGGGAGGGACCAGAGATGTGATTTTATTTTCTGGGCAGACAGTTTGGGGAAATTGGAAAGGCAAAGAGGATCCATTTCTTTTTAGTCTGCATCTGTTTTGTGGGCCGGTTTCCCTCTTCTTCCCTCTTCCCTCTGTGGGCGGGTTTCAACTCTTCTGCCACACGCGGGTGCTCCCGTGGGTCCGGCGCTTTGAGAGGAAGGATGCCTTTGGTCGCTGCGATCAGCAGAGAGTCTGGTCAGTGTGGGGGGATGACTGTGGTAAGTTTGCCAAGCATGGTGAGGCCTTCGCAGTATTTTCCTCCGTTGTCACTGTATTAATTAATGTTTTTCCTCTCTTCTAGTTGTGTTTTGCCCTTACCCTGTGTTCTGCCTTTTGGGTAAGTGTGTATTTTGATTTCCTTGAACCTTTTGGCTTACGCCTCTTGTCACACACCGTGCGGTAACTGTCTGTTCTCCTTTCAGTGGCATAACAAGGGACTCGCGCTCATCTTCTGCATTTTGCAGTCCTTGGCCCTGACGTGGTAAGTGATGTCTCCAATAGTGTCCTCCCACGTCGCTGTCTGAATGACGCGGCTGAAGGAGATAAAAGCCCACGTGGTGTGGGTAGGAGGACAGAAAAACATAGGAGCTTTTCAATTTAAGAATTCTCAAGGATACAAGTGAAGTCAGACGGCAGAGCGGAAGTCTGTGCCCTCAGCCGTGCGCCGGTAGCCGGCGTCCGTGGTCTCGGGGGGCCGGGGACTGGCTGCCTGCTGCACTGTCTTCTGCGGGGCTCCCGGTCGATTTCGAGATGTTCTCAGTGTGACTCAGTCACTTCCGTCTGGTAGGAGCGAGGACGGTGGAGTATTTCGGGGGCTGGTAGAGAGAGCTGTGAGTCAGATGGACATCGAAGGAAGGCGAGCGGTAGGAAGCAGGGAGCCGCGTTTGGGACGGGACGGGTGCCTTAGCCGAAGCGCAGAGGGAGTTGTCAGCTGGAGATGAGGGACAGTGACTGATGAAACGGAAACCCTCATGGCCGTGGGCGGCAGGCCCAGCAGGTGCACGGCAGGCCGTCGGCAAAACCAGGGAATTGTGGCTCAAGAGCCACGCACGGTGAAGGGGGCGCTGGAGACCTCGGTCCTTCCAGACGGGCCCAGCGTCCGGCGGGGCGCGGTGCTGACAGGAGGAACCAGTGGCTTCAGAGAGGTTGTTCCGGTCCTTCCAGAGTTTAGGAACACGTGAGGCGGCTTGAACGGTTTCCACAGACGCACTGGTCCGCTTCAGGGAAAACATGCTTTCCCTGGTGCCCAGGAGAGAGGGCTGCAAGTCTCAAAGCCACCGGGACTGGCCGTGGTCCCGCGCGGCAGGAGCGGGGCTTGAAGCTGTAGCCACGTACCTCGTCGTTGTGGTCATTTGGGACTTGTGAAAAAATACGCTTCCCAAATGCTTTTTGGGATTTACTGTGTTCACAAGTGAGCGACTTTCTCTCCATGGGGAACGGAAGGAGAACGAAGGCCTGATTTTAGTGACACGCGGGCTTCGGCAGCAGGTACCGGAGGGCCTGGTTTGTGGCTTATGTTCATGTGCTGTTTCTTTCCGGGGCATGGGGTGGTACCCACATGGACGTGCCTTTCTTCACCTGTAGACTGAATTTGAAGCCACTCTCCAGAGGTTCAGCGTTCATACAGGCTCACGCAGACGGCAGTAATGCTCCAGCGCCGACTGTGTTGTGTTTTCCTCAGGGCTGGTCATGAGCATTGGGGCCTCCCACCTGCCTGGGCCTCCATTGGGTGAGGGGACTGAGCCAACTGGGATCCCCGAGACAGCTCTGGGCCCGGGTTCCTGAAGAATCCTCACTTCCTTACGTTGTTATCCATAGTATAGTTGGTGCTGTTTTTTTTTTTCTTTCTGTTCTGTTTTCTCTTCTTTTAAAATTGATAGGAGCAGAGCAGAAAACCCTCCCGGTCAGTGGCAGTTCGTTCTGTTGAGGGTTTGTGAAATCCTAGAGGGAGCTGCGCCCGGTGTTATCCGGCGGTTTCAGGATAGGGCTCCGCGCCGTCCCACTGTGTGGGACCTGCTGACCCCGTGAGGCAGAGGTGACGAGGTCGGCTCCATGTGGGCCTTTCACCCTTCTCTGGCCACCGATGACCCCCACCTGTACCTGGGGTGCGGCATGTGTTCATGTGTGCGTGCGAGTGTGCATAGGTGTGTGTGCACACCCCATGGTGAGGACGGAGAGGGTCTGGGCCCTTAGGGACAGGCGTCCTCGCAGCTGAGGCCCATTCCTTCCAGAGAGTCCCTGCGTTAATTTTGTCTTTTGTTTGTTTTCTTTGCAGGTACAGCCTTTCCTACATACCCTATGCCAGGTAAGACTGACTGCGCTTAGGGCTGTGCCTTCTCACTCGGGGCAGAGGGCCCTTTGTTTTGGGTGCTTTCAGAGAACACGTGTTTTATCTTTACTAAAGTTCTTCCAGGCAAATAGGTAAGGGTCCTGTATCCGTTTTATAGATTCGTAAGCTGAGGGTCCTGTCCACCTCCTCCCCTGCGGTGCAGGGTGATGGGCATTGGCCCGGGACCCCAGTTCCGGTGGCAGAACGTTCTCCTGTGACAACGTAGGGCATGTGTGCACGTAATCCCTCTTGGAAGGCGTAGCTTTGTGGAGGAAAGGTGAATATCACTTTAGCATCCCTGAGGGAGAGGTGGAGGGAGCCAGGCTCACGCTTGTTTTCATGTAGTACCCATGGATGAGAACGTTCCAGAAGCGTTTATGAAGGGAAAGTCGGCAGGGCCAGGACTCGGAGGACCAGGGTTTGCTAGTTAGCAGTGTGGCCTTGGGCGGCTCACTAGACCCCTGTGGCCGGAGAGGACGTGTGGAAGCAGCGTGGGCCGGCCCGGCCATCCCCACAGGCACGCCTCCTTTGTTCGGTACTTGCAGCGAGGGGCCTCGCAAAACTGGTCGTGTGATCTTTGCCTGACCCTGCTGTCACGCGGCAGCTTAATTTCCATATGTGTCTGTCCTTACCTGTCAGTTAGAAAGAGGCTTGTCTTTAGCTGTATTGAGAAGACGGGAGACCGCATGGGAGCTGGGAGGTGGACAGGCAGGCTTGTGTCTCCCGTGTTCCGACTCTGCCGCTGACAGTGGTTCGAAGATGCTGGGCAGTGCCCGATGGGAAGTTCACAGGCCCCTCACTGTAAAGGCAGCTGTGTGGCTCGGGAGTACGTTCCAGGGGGATAACAGTTAGGAAATCCTCTGCTGACCCAGCGAGTTTGGGGTGCTGGGGGCTTGTCTGAGAAGCGTATGGGTAGAACTGTCTTGGGCAGCTGGGTTTTTATGTGGAAGGAGCCAGAACCGCTCATCCCTGAGCGTCCCGTGATCTTATCAGTTTGCCCACAGTTTGAATGTGTCATCATGCCAGGACCAGGTCTGTAATTTTCAGGGTCCTGTGCAAAACGTAAATGTGGGCTCCTGGTTAAACAATGATTGAGAATTTCAAGATGGCAGCCACAGAGCGTCAAACCAGAGGTGAAACCTTTCAAGTATGGGGTGCAGGGAGACTGCCCGTGTCTCTGACCCATGAAGCTGGGCCTGCTCGGTGCCCTTCAGGGCTGTGCACTTGACCTGGACAGGCATTTATAGAGCTCACACCTTTCTCCGTGTCCCACGGGCAGAGTCGTTACACAGCAGGAAAGGGTTCTGTGGTCACATATGTTTGGGAAGGGGTTAGGCAAAATTAGGTGGGTTCCTTGTTAGGCAACTTTCCAGGTCCTCTGATATGCGTGGTGTTTGCTGCCGTGAGGGATCTTACTTGACTGCGTCTCTTTCTTGTGCAGAACATCTGCTGGACTACAGTGTAGAGCGTGTCTTAAGCACTGCACTGGAATTATCTTACTGTTAAAGCACTGTGCCTGCTCACACAGATGCACTCACTTACCTCCTCCTCCCTCCGTGACTGTCCTGGGATCCTTGACGCCGTGTGGCTGAGAGCAGAGGGACAGGGTCGGGGCGGGAAGCCCTGCACAGCCACATGTGGGCCTGAGATGGCCGTGCTTCCTTGAGCAGGACAGTGATGGATTGGGGACCCACTCTTTCCTTTCCACGTATGTGAATTCTAGGGAGTAAGCCCTGGGACAGGCCTAACCCAGCAGGTTGATAAGTACCCAGTCACTGCAGAGAGTCCGCTGTGCACGGGAACTCCGGCAGGCTGTCTCTTAGCAGGTTCCTGCTGTTTGCTTAGGACAAGGAATGAGGAAAGGCCCGAGTGACAACTGGGTCTGATGTTTTCAGTGCATCTACTACTTCTGGTTAACTTCTAAGTGCACAGTCCTTCGTTCTTGGTTTCCGATAACCTCTGCTTTCTTCCGGTCCTTTCCTTTGGCTATTGTCAGTAGCTGTCCGTTGTTTGATACCTGTTCTTTTCACTGTGTTAATTCCTGCAGATGTGGGATTTGGGACTCAGCAAGACGGGTCACTTGCCCACGGCAGTACTGCTCATGTTGAACCTGCAGTTGGACGCTAGGGAGCTTGACCTCACAGTCAGGGTGCCCTCTCCCCTGTAGGGTGCTCCTCTGGGTGCCCAGGAATTACGAGGGTCTTGACCACTTACAGGGGCCTGGGGGGTGATGGTCTCCCACTGACGTTCGTGTGTTTTCCTCCTAGGGATGCTGTGAAGAAGTGTTTTGCAGCCTGTCTGGCATAGCACACGTCCCGCTGTGCCAGGCCCTGGGAGGCGCCATGGACGGGAGCCGGTGGACAGTTTTGTAAACACCTCCTGAACCTCTGTCTTACAGACATGTGCCTTTTCTCCTGCAGCAGTGTGTTGCTTGTGATCTGAACGTTTGAAGGTTGCTTTTGGAGACAGTGTTGTCTTCCAGACCCAAACGTCTGGAGCCTGGTGTGAGAGGTGGGGTCTGTAGCTTGTGGGGTGGACTTCCTTTTGCACCTGTTCCCTTGTTAGATGCTGTTCCACCGAAATCTCCTAATAAAAGCCTCGTGAAGCAGCTGCAGGTCGGCTCCGGAGCCAGGGCTCTCCAGGGGACGGCGGGCAGCCCCGTCGGAGCTGGCAGGGGTGCGGCCGGAAGGCACAGAGCTTTGAGGTCGACGGGGACTTTGTGGACTTGTCCTCAGTATGCAGACCCTCCCCGCCTCACCCAGCGTACATGCGTTTCTGCTCTGGGGTCTGCCCCCCGACAGCTGCACACAAGCCCATGGAGAGCCTGGCCGCGGAGTAACGTGGAAAGAAGCACTTTTGGGGGCATGTGTGTTGGTTTTAAATCTGAATGTTGGCTTTGTTCTGATTCCACACCTGACGATGGAGCGTGTCTTCTGACATTCAGTGCACACTCTTCTCTTGGGGTTTTCTTTCTTTCTCCCTGCCCACGTAGCTTTTCTCCTGACCAGGAACTAGACCGGGGACAGAGCACTGACGGAACAGACGCTGTTGGCTTTTGCACAAGGGCTGATGGGAGGTGAGAGATCGTGCTGCTTTCTGCTCTGGTTTTCTTTTCATGATTTACATGCGCTGCTTTTAAACTGATTCTGTTTTCCATCTCCCCTGGAATGGGGCCAGGAAAGAGGGGATGGGAAGGCAAAGGCCCCCCACCATGGGGCCCGCGGGAAGGAGGTGTGCCTGCCCGTGACCTTTCATCAGGGCCTGTTTTTGTGCTGGAGTCGGGGCCGTAGACCCTGGGGCAGGATGCCATGGATGTCCGGGGCTTGCCTCGCAGCCCCCCTGCACCGCACACACCTGCTTTGTGCCCAGAACCCTGTCCGGTCCTCATGAGAGCCGGTGACGGTTATCTCACTGGCAGTCGAGGAAATCGGGTCTGGGAGGTTAGCGGGTTCCCCCGAAGCCATGGCTGGTGGCAGACCTGGGTCCAGAGCCTGGGTGCTCCAGCTTCAGTTGCCCGTGTTTCCCGGGGTGGCTCTGGAGGCGTCCCCTCTAACGGTTCTGCCTGTTGCCATCAGCCAAGCCTGTGCCTTTCCTGCTCCCAGCATCTACATCACTGCCCTATCTCCTGCTGGGTTTCCCCTTTGGGAAGCTCTTCTGGGTTCCGTAGGCTCTCCACTGTTCGTTAGTGTGCCCTTCCAGCTCTTTCTCGCTGCCTGACCAGCGTAAGTGCCCTAGCCTGATTGCCAGAGCCCCTGGCAGTGCAGGGCCACTGCAGCACGCCCTCTCTGGGGTTGCCTTTCTGTTCTTTACCCAGGTCTAGCTGTCCCCTCGGGGTCTTGCTCTGGCCAGCCTTTTCCTCTGAGCTGGGGAGCTGTAAGCAGGTCTGACCGGACCAGAGCGAGGAGGCGGTCTCGCCGGGTCCTCTTGGGGCTGTGGAGGGCGCCCGGGCTTATCCTGAGGCTCCTAACCTGCCTTCAGCCAGGAGGGGAAAATAGTGCCGCTGTCTGGCTTTTGTGGCATTCTTTCACCCCTGAGGTGCCCTAGGAGATAACTCAGATCTTGGAAGTGCTCTAGGAAGTGGCCCGAAAGAGGGCAGGAGTGTCCTTCGTTCCCTCCCTTGAGAGCGGATGTGAGGCCAGCCTGTGTCTACGAGCTCCGGCAGTAACTGGAAGGCTGATGCCTCTGGCCCTTTGCAGTGTTTGGACTTGACTTTATGGGACATGAGGTCGAGGTGCCTTTTGAGACTCCAGCGGGGCTGTGTGGCGCAGCGGTAGTGGCAGTGGGCTCTGACGGCACCCGGGCCTGGGTGTGCGTTGTGTCCCGTCACAGACTGCCGTCCGGTTGAACAGGTTACTTGAGCTCTGGCTCGCCCGTTAACCCCAGAGAAAACAGTTCTTTCTGCACCATTGTACGTCAGCTGTGCCAGGTGCTGAGCCCAGTGTACGTAGATGACATCCCAGTAACAGGAAGGCATTACTGCCTCATCCCCGAAGCAGCCGATGACTTGAAGGTGACAAGTGAATGTCTCTGACCGTTAACTTACTAGAAGCTCTGCGTCCAGCTGTCCATGTCCAGCACACCAGACTGCCATGCGTGGTCTCATTTGCCATCGGCAGTGACTCGCTGGCTGCTGGTCCTGTTTGCTCCGGGTCCCTCCAGATCCTGCCGGTAGAGGGCGGTGGTTCTCGCGTTAAAGCGGTTGCTCGGCCCTAACGTGGGCGTCGGCCAGTTTGCTCTGGCGGCTCCGGGCAGGTCACTTTGGGATGATCCTGCCCTTTAGGCTCTCCCAGACTCCAGCATTTCCCCTCTGCCACCTCGACCTTTGGTTCCCCTCCTTGTTTTCGCCTGCTGCACGGTGGGAGGAAGAAATCCCCGTGAAGTCTCTGAAAGCTGTTACCAGGCACCGTCGTGGGCGACCGAGTCGGGGGTCAGGGTTCAGACCCTGCGGCTGTCTTGCTGGCAGTGGTCTTGGTTTCCTGCAAACTCCCCTCACCACAGCTGGGGGAAGGAGAGGCTGTTGCATCTCTGGAATGAAAGGAATCGACTCCTGCCCTTGTGCCCCCCGGGGGTGAGGCGGTGCCTCCATGCGTGTGAGCTGCGCCCCCCACCTTCTTCCCTCTGTGCTGCTGTGCTGGGCACTGCGCTGCTCCCCAGGCCCAGACAGCTGGCTTTGGCCCTCAGAGCCTGCCGCGTGATTCCCCGCCACCCAGCTCAGTCCCTAGGGGGGTCCCCTTCTGCCCACTGGGCTCACGGGCGGCTCTGGCTCCCAGATCCTGTGTGCGGCTGTGCCACTGGCCTCTGCTGCCCAGGCCCAGCTGCGGGTCCCCGGGAAAGGGGGGACACCATCCGGCATGCAGCATTTCCACTGGGTCGATGATCTCGGTGCTCCCTCATTCTTCTATGGGGACTTTGGGGGGCTGTCCCCCGCCTGCCACCTCCCTCGCACCCTGAACGGTGTGCTCAGGGAGAGGAGACAAAGTCGTGAGGTGCATCTCCGTAGATGGCTTTTGGACACCTGCATTGGAAAAGAGGATTAAGAAGTGGGGCACACCTTGAAAGAAGGGTGTGGGGGATACTGGTGTGGGTGCTTCTGCTTTTGACAGCTCCAGCGGCGTGACAAGTGTGGTCTTGTGGTCCTCGGGGGTGAGTCAGGAAACTCAGCCCGTGGCTGCGCATCCTTGTCTGTGGGGCAGCCCGCGCCGGCCGCCTTACCTGCTCCTCCCTCAGACGTCTGGCCGCACTCAGCTGCAGGGTCACAGACTAGTGAAAAATTCACAACCCATCCTTGACCCTCCTTTTTAGCAAATAAATGAAAAAATCCATGTTTGCTCAGTTTTTGGCGTAGTTTTTTCTATTTTAAAAGTTAAGATTTGGGGGGATGTTCTAAGGGGTGTTATAGGTTTTCTGCAGATAGCAGTTTTTAAAAAGCCAGTAGACCTACAACCGAAGTTAAATGCAGGTTCACATCTGAAACTCTCGGTAAGATACTAACAAAAGAATTTTGATTCAGAGTTTTTGATTTTTTTGGAAATTCTTATTTAAAAAGTTAGCGGGGAGGTTAAATCATGGGACTTTAAAGTAGCTCGTAGTTCATAGTTTATGCATTTTGTGAAGTTACGAGGTCTTGAGCGTTTCCGTCCAGTGAAGAGACGGAACTGTCGTGTGGTGTGTTTCGTCCGCCAGGACAGGCTGCCTGCCTGCTCTTTGGGCTGTTTCAGTTCTGCCCCAAAGGCAAGGGCGCCACTGCCCAGTCCCTGGTACACCTAAGCCCCGTGGTGGGTGGCTCGGGTTTCTGTAGCGCAGAGGCCCTGAAGCCTGGGCAGAGAGCGGCGGCGGGGCAGCCCGGCCCGTGCCCATGTACACTGACCACGGGAGACTCCTTCTTCCTGGCAGGAGCCCGCAGGCTGGTGACGGGCTTAGAAATGCACAGAACTTTGTCTCTGGACGGGACGGGCTGAGAGCAGGGAAGACTGAGCTTCTTAGGCAGTGCGTGTCCTCTCGGGGACCAGACGTGCTGTGTGAGACTGAGAAGTCCGCTCACGGCATCGTCATCCACAGGCGATGCTCAGGTCCATGTGTGCAATAAGGTAGTGTCACCGCATGTAGACAGTGCGGAGAACCCCATACGCCACAGACAGACTTTCCCTGATACCACAGGGCTGGCTGGACTCAAGTCCTCGCGGGGCCCCTTCAGACCAAACGGAGGCCGGAGTCCGGGCAGAGCTCTCCGGCCCCTGTCATGCGTCTGCTGAGCCTGGTCGCGAGTACCGGCGGTTGTCGCGTTTGTGGGGTGCGCGGGGAAACGCGATCTGTGTCCAGCTTTGCGGCCTTCCTGCTCTGAAGTGTGCGTCTTGCCTTTTTCAGTACTTTCGCTTGACGTAGCCGCTGTGAACAAAGAAGGAAAGATTTCACATCCTCTCAGCTTTGTTCCTTTGCCACTTTTGTAAATTCTGGTTGTGAAGTTGGGGGTAAAGATGTTCAAAACCCCGTGGGGAATTTACATGCCTTCAGAACATTGTGCCTGTTCTAATACGAGGAGCTTTTAAGACGCTTTGTTAAAACATGAATCCATTTTTGTAATCATATAGTAATACTTAACTAATTTTCAATTCTGGTGATTGCATAACTGAATTTTTTATATCCAAAAACATATTCTTGTGTGCTACTTTTCCTACCTTGAGATTCTATTTCGTACAACAAATGTTTTCTTTTCACTGATGTATTTCAAAGAGAAGGAACTTTGCTCATATTAGAGCTGTTCCCCCCCCCAAGACATCATAAAACTGTTCTTAATTTTTCTTGTTTTGCATTTTGTTTCCTTTTCTAATAAATGATAGGATTATGATCTTTAATAAATCTGGTATCGTGTCTTGTTTATGTCTGTTTCCCCAGGAGTCACTAAACCAAATGAAGATTGGCTACAAGAAAAGAACACGTCCTTGCTTTGTATGCGTAGTATGTAGCATTGCAAGCACTTGAGGTGGTTTTTGAGCTAAATTGTTAAGTAATCCTCTCTTTCCAAGGGCATGGGAGTAATAGAATCTAAGTCTTGAAGATTTTTGAAGGTAAAAAGTGGCAAATGTTTTTATTTTGGAGAATTCCTGCACACCTGCCTGGCTTAGTCACTGCATAAACTGGGTCGTCAGTGTGAAGTTCGTACTATTTCCATATTCTTTTAATGTTCCAAGATTTAGAGTTATGACCGCTCTTTCTCTGATGATGCTGGTACTTTGCTTTATCTCGGTCAGTCTGGTTTGGAGTTTATGATTTCATGATCATTTCAGAGACAAACTGGTTGAAAAGATTTGAACAGTCCTTTAACACAAATATGTGAATAGCCAACAAGCATGTGTAGTATATACTGTGTTATTTTATATATTAATATGTGATATGAGTATATATAAGTTGATATTCCTAACTTACAAGTTAAGAAAACAGGTAAAGCCCAATTCTAAAGGTGCATTCTCAGGTGGTAAAATTACAATGAAAAGTAGGACATTATTTGTGTAAAGTTCGGATCGTGATGACTTTTTGAGGTATGGAGATTAGTGATTGGGAAGGGATGCAGTGTGGAGGGGGATTCTGGGTGCTGGTTGTCCATTTTCTTTTGTTTTTTGAGAGAGCTCGAGGGGCTAGTAAGGGGCAGAGGGAGAGAGAGTGAGACATCTCCAGCAGGCTCCACGCCCAGCGCAGAGCCTGACACGGGGCTTGATCCCAGGACCCTGAGATCGTGACCTGAGGCCAGATCAAGGGTCAGATGCTCAATGGACTGAGCCACCCAGGTGCTCCTGTCCCATTTCTTGGCCGAGTGTTATTTGCAAGGTGTTCACTCTGATAAATCATTACACTATGTTTTTTGCATATGTGCACTTTTATGATGTGTTATACTTTATAATAAAGGTAAAGGCTTAAGTAATTGGTTTTAGATATTTTTTCTATATAATTTAACACGATAAATGTCCTTCTGAGTATGGCTTTAGTTTTGGTATGTTGTATTTTCATTGTAATAAAGTTCAAAATATTTTCGTTTTTTCCTTTTTACTGTTTACTGCCGCCCACCTCTGGACCACCTCCTCAGTCCCTGCTCACCACCTGGCCTTCCCTCCCCTTCCCTCCTCTCTTTGTCCTCACCAGCTCCTCCCTCACCAGCTTCTCACCTCTCAGTGACCCTCCTCCCCTGCCTTTCCCCACCCCCCACCCCATCTCCACCCCCGCCTCTCCCAGACGTAGCCTGGCCCAGTTCAGAATACTTTATTTCCTTGTGACTTCTTCTTGACCCCGTGATTACTTAGATGTCTGTTTAATTTTTAAACATTTGGGGATTTTCCAGATACCTGTTACTGGTTTATAATACAATTCTGTTGTAGTCAGAGAACACATTCTTTACTTTTTTTTTTTTAAGAATTTATTCGGGAGGGAAAGAGCATGAGGTGAGGGGCAGAGGGAGAAGGAGAAGCAGGCTCCCCGCTAAGCCGGGAGCCCCGACTCTGGGTCAGTCCCAGGACTCTGGGATCATGACCTGAGCTGAGTGAAGGCAGACAGGTAACCGGCTGAGCCACCCAGACACCCCCAGAGAATATATCCTAAATGATTTTAACCCTTTAACATTTATCAGGACTTGTTTTACGCCCTGCGTATCGTCTGTCTTGGTGGATGTCGCATGTATGTTTGAAAGGAATGTGTGTTCAGCAGTTGAGTGGAATGTTCTAGAAATGCCACGTTGGTCGAGGTGTTGTTCAGGTTCTAACCATACTGAGGTGGTACGTACTTCTGTCAGTCACTGAGAGGGGCCGTGAATCATGATGTGGATTTCACTGTCTTCTATTCAGCTAGTTTTAAAAATTCTATTTTAAACATAAAAAAAAAAGAAATAAAATATGCAACACGAAAATGTGTGGCTCAGTGAATTATTTCAAAGTGTCGGTGTCACCGCTGTCCGGGTCAAGAAGTAGCGTGTCGCCAGCGTCTCCGCGTCCCCTCACGCTCCCGCGTCTCACTTCCGTGTCGCTCCTCCCGGCGCTGGGGCGCCGCCGCCTCCTGCTGCTCAGCGGGGATTTCCTCACGCGCGGGCATGAGGCTGCGCGCGGCGTCGTGGCTTCACCTCCGCACGCCGCGGAATGGCCGCCGCGGCAAGTTCCGTCGACCTCCGGCCTCTCGCAGGTGTCGGGACACGGAAGGTAAAATTCCTGTTTTCCTTGGGACGAGAACCTCCGGGGTTTCCTCTCGGCGCCTTCTGCACGCGCCCCCCGCAGCGCTCGCCCGTCCTCCCTGCGCGGCCCTGGCCGCCCGCGCTCCGGGGCTGCTCCCGCCGCCTCCCGCGCCCGCCTCTGGCGACCGCTCGCCCCTGGGGCCCTGTTTGTTGTCAACCCACAGGGACGTGCGACGGGCAGCGTTTGTCTGCCGCGTGCTCCGCTTAGCGCCGCATCCCCGGGGCCATTCGTGTTGTCGCAGACGGCGCGACGGTCGCTCCCGGGGCTGAGTGCAGTCCCTGGGGTCAGTGTCCCCCGTTTCCTGTCTGTCCACCCGTCCACGGACACTCCCGTTGTTTCCCGCTCGGCTGTTGTGGATACGGCCGTGGCGGGGCTTCTGGGCGGCTGCCTGCGGCTCAGGTAGGGTCGCGGGGTCGAGCCCCGCATCGGGCTCCCTGCTCGGCGGGGTCCGCTCCTCCGCCCGCCTCCGCCCGCTGGCGCGCGCTCGCCGGCACGTACGCGCACAAATGAGAAAGTCTGTGCGTGACGCGCCGCCGCAGACACGTCTCCCTCCGCCGCCTGCTCCGGGCGCCGTGTCGAGGGGAGGCGGCGGAGCTGGGCCTCCGGGCCCTGCTCACGGTCTTCCAAGAAACGCTTCCAGGCGTGAGGCAGCCGCGCGTTCCCTCCCAGGCCGCTTCCGAGGCGCCGACCGAGTTTCCGCGGCGGCTGGTTCTCGGGGTGTTTTCGACGCGGCGGGGCGTCGAGTCTCGTCAGGTGCCTTTTCTGCACCAGTTGCGACGACCGCGTGTTTCCCTCCTTGCCGTGAGCGGGTGTTGCGCGGGGGTTTTCCTCGGTCGAACCGTCCTGAACTCAAGAATAATGCCACTCGGCGCCCAATCCCTTTCATGCGCTGCTGAATTCAGTCCGTTCGTACTTTCGGGGGTTTTCGCGCGGATGTTCATGGGGGACCCTGGTCGGGAGCTTCCTCTCGTGCTGTCTCCGGCCTGACAGAACGAATGAGGAAGCCTTCCCTTCTCTTCAAGTTTTTGGAAAAATTTCCAAGAATTAGTTCTTTAACTGTTTCATAGAACTCACCAGTGAAGTCACTAGGTCCAGGACTTGCTTTGGCAAGAGATTTTTTTCTTTTTTTAAGGATTTATTTATTTTAGAGAGAGGAAGAGCGAGAGAAGGGGCAGAGGAAGAGGGTGAAGGAGAGAAGCGGGCTCCCCGCTGAGTCGGGAGCCTAATGCAGGGCTCGATCTCACGGCCCTGAGATGGAGACCTGAGCCGAGATCGAGTCGGGCTGCCGGAGCCCCCCAGGCCCCGCGGCAGGAGGTTCGTGAGTGCCGATTCTGTCGTACTAGTTTTAGTTCTACTCTTATTTTTTATTTCTTCATGATTTAGTTTTAGTACGTTTTGTGTTTTTAGAAATTTGTCTACTTCAACTAGATTATCCTATTTTTTGGTATATAACCGTGCATAGTATGCTCAGAATCCTTATTTCTGTGGCATTGATAGTAATGCCCCCCATTTTGATTTCTGCTCATAGTAATTTAGATCTTCTGTCTTTTTTCTTATTTCAGCTGGTGAAAGGTTTGTCAGTTTTTTTGATCATTTCAAAGAACCAGCTTTTTGTTTTATTGATTTTTTTCTTTTAATTTAATTATCTCTGTTCTAATCTTTATTTCCTTCCTTTTCTGAGCTTGGGGTTTAGGTTGTTCTTTTTCTAGTTCTTTAAGTTGTAAAGTTAGGTTGTTGATTTGAGATCTTGTTTTTTAATATTTATTTATTTGTCAGAGAGAGAGAGCGCACACATACAAGCAGGCAGAGCGACGGGCACAGGCAGAGAGAGAAGCAGGCTCCCCGCAGAGCAAGAAACCCAACTCGGGACTCCATCCCAGGATCCTGGGATCATGACCTGAGCCGAAGGCAGTGGCTTAACTGACTGAGCCACCCAGACATCCCGAGATCTTGTGTTTTTGTTGTTTTTAACTTTCTATTTATTTATTTGACAGACAGAGATCACAAGTAGGCAGAGAGGCAGGCAGAGAGAGAGGGGGAAGCCGGCTCCCAGCGATCAGAGAGCCTGATGTGCGACCCGATCCCAGGACCCTGAGATCATGACCCGAGCCAAAGTCAGAGGCTTAACCCACTGAGCCACCCAGGCGCCCCTGAGATCTTGTTTTTTAATGTGAACATTTATAGCTATAAATTTCCCCCTTAGCACTGCTTTTGCTGCATCCCATGAATTTTGGTATATTGTGTTTTGTTTTCATTCATCTCTAAGTATTTTCTAATTTCCTTTAGGATTTATTCTTTGATCCATTGGCTGTTTAAAGGTGTGTTGTTTCTTTTTCACAATTTTGTGAGTTTTCCATCCTTCCTTTTGTTTTTTGTTTTTTAAATCTTTTTTTTTTTTTAAGATTTTATTTATTTATTTGACAGACAGAGATTACAAGTAGGCAGAGAGGCAGGCAGAGAGAGAGGAGGAAGCAGGTTCCCTGCTGAGCAAAGAGCCCGATGTGGGGCTCGATCCCAGGACCCTGGAATCATGACCTGAGCTGAAGGCAGAGGCTTTAACCCACTGAGCCACCCAGGCACCCCTTGTTTTTCGTTTTTAAAGATTTTATTTATTTGAGAGAGAGACAGAGTGAGAGGAGAGAGAGAGAGAGAGAACACAAGCCAGGTGAGTGGCAGAGGGAGGAGCAAAGTCCATGCAGAGCAGGGAGCCCGATGTGGGGCTTAGGACTGGGGCTCCAGGATCATGACCTGAGCGGAAGACAGACACTTGACTACTGAGCCACCCAGGTGCCTCCATTTTTCTTTATGTTTTGATTTCTAGTTTCATTCCATTGTGGTGAGAGAAGATACTTTGTATGTTATCTATGTCTTGAAATCTATTGAGACTTAATTCGTGGCCTAACATGTCTTCTGTCCTGGAAAATGTCCCATGTATACTTGAGAAGAACGTTTATGCTGTTGTTTTGGGTAGACTGTTCTGTATTT